TTTGAAGGCACACTCAAACAGCTTCTATGAAGCTGTCCATGAATGTTTCTGTTCTTTTTCTCCTTTTGGATTTGTCACGATTACTCTCCACCCACTGTGATCTCACTCCTGACTTTCTTTAGTCACCTCAGCCTCAGCCTGGCTCTTCTGCGATAGCGTAGGCGGTACCCTGACATTTGCAACACCGTTAGCGCTTTTACATTGATGCCGCAACCCCTCAGTCCGGCTGAACTGGCTTTGCCGTCCACAGATTCTTCCCATGATTCCCCTCGACACTGCCGGCGACAGCATCAGCATCACCACAGGCTCCAGGAAAACATTGAAGGAGCTCGTCAGCATAGCGTACGTCCTCCACTTGATGTTGTCTTTCAACACAAACCCCACAATGTGCGAGGCATTGTAGGGTGCATTGCACACCACAAACACAGCCAGCGTGGTGAGCGCAACAGTCAGGACTCTTCTCTTTCCCATAGGGCGCAAATTTGAGTGCCACACCAGGGTAACGCAGCGCAGCGTGCAAAAGGACGTCACAATCAGAGGCAAAACAAACAAGACCATGGCCATCTCCAGACGTAGAGGCAGCAGAACAGCCAGCTGGGAGTCGTTGAAGTGGTTGTAGCAGGTTGAGGCTTCACCCTCATTGGAGACAAAGTGAGCCCCTCCTTCAGCCACCAGGGCGAAACTGAGGTGAAAGAGCACCAAGGCCCACAAGGCAGCGCTGATGAAGCAAGAGAGTCGAGCACGGCGGTATCTCTTGTAGATAATTGGGAATGCGATGCTGAGGTAGCGCCCCACCGTCACAGCGGTGATGAACAGACAGCTGCCGTACAGCGAGGAGAAGAGGAAGAAGCTGTAGATGGGGCAGATGGATGTTGGCAGCCTCCAGTCCTGAAGCAAAGTCTCCATAGCCTTGACGGGCAGCCAGACCACAAGCACCAGGTTGGCCAGGCACAGGTTCAGGGCGTAGACCACATTTGGTGTGGCGCCGCGCTTGCAGGCCTTGCGCACATACACAAACAGGACCAGTAGGTTGGCGGGAAGGCCCAGCAGAAAGGTGAAGATGTAGACGGAGATAGCGAAGCACTCCTTGAAAGACACCTGCATCTCTTCAGTTTAGGACACAGCTGAGAGACATGGGAAGTCCAGCACAAAGGTAGCACCGCCTCCAGTTTACCACGACAAGGATAAATCGACAGGAAAGTCTCGACTAAAACAGCCAAAC